GAACCCCTGCATTATGTCCAGATTTATAGTAGAGCAAGTTATTCTTAAAAACATTGATTTGTGTCATTGTTTGTTGAAATAAATGTTGTCGGGATCACCGAAATAATTATCTTGAGGTTTCACAGATATATTTAGTTATAATATTAAAGTATATTTATTGTAATATCCTTCATGATTACATCTCAGTTATCGGATTCTTATCCACGTTGCGTTGGCTCTCTTCAGGTGCCATAGACGCTTTTTTACTATAGTATTTATCTATAGTCGCGTATGACTACCGCACGCATTGTTCTCTCTCACCTGGGGATGCGTGCGCATACTCCCGTACAAGCTATATTCAGATCCTATACTCGAACCATAACTTAGAATTGTAGCATACAAAATTACTCATATCTCAACAAATTTCACAAGAATGAACCCTTTCGATCAGAGATTGTGTCTCGGAGTCTCGCGTGCGCATACTCCCGTACTGCGTTGGCTCTCTTCAGGTGCCATAGACGCTTTTTTACTATAGTATTTATCTATAGTCGCGTATGACTACCGCACGCATTGTTCTCTCTCACCTGGGGATGCGTGCGCATACTCCCGTACAAGCTATATTCAGATCCTATACTCGAACCATAACTTAGAATTGTAGCATACAAAATTACTCATATCTCAACAAATTTCACAAGAATGAACCCTTTCGATCAGAGATTGTGTCTCGGAGTCTCTTTGTTGGGCGGTTTCTAGCCAAGACATTTGGGAGCTAACGTTTATTGCATTGACCAATGGTAACTCTGGACAGTATTTTACGTTATCGCGTGTTTCTGGATTTCGGCTGAGATAATCGACATGGCCAACGTATTTCTCCTTCCTACAAACAACTTCGAAGTCAAAATCCTGCAAGTATGTCCACCAGCGAGCTACCCGAGGTGTTAGATCCTTTTTATGTACTGTCGATTTAATTGGATTACAGTCCGTAATAATTTTAAAATTGATACCGAATAGATAGACGCGGAACTGTTTTAAGGCGTTATATATAGAAAGGGTCTCCAATTCGTAGGCGTGGTATTTCGATTCCGCCGGGGAGATACGTCTACTAAAATAAGTTACAACCTTACTTGTGTTGTCAACCCTGTGTATTAGAATGGCACCGTAGCCTATTGAGCTTGCATCCGTATGCAGTTCCGTTGATAGTGAAGGATCGAATATTGTTAGCAAAGGTTTCAAAACAAGGTGCTTAATTACATATTCCCGTGCGGCGTCTTGTTTCTGCCCCCAATCCCATTTTTGCTCCTTTCTTGTTAGTTTCGTAATACAAGCTGTACGAGGAGCAAATTCTGGAATATATTTACGGAAATAACTGGCTAGTCCCATAAACTGCCGGACTTGTTTGATTGCGCTAGGGACAGGTGAATTGTCAACGGCCGAAACCTTATCGTCGCTTAGTCTAATACCTTCCCTACTTATGTGTGTTCCAAGGGATTCAATCCTGGTAACGAAAAAGAAACACTTTTTAAGGTTGACAGTGAAACCAGTATCACTAAGGGCTTGAATAGTACATTCTAAGTATTAGAGACCCTCTGATATTGAGGAAAATGGAATCAATAAATCATCAATGTAGACTTGCAGGAATTTCAAATATCCGACTGCCCTGTTAATCGCCCTCTGAAACATTGACGGCCCATTAAAAATTCCGAAAGATATTTTCAAGAATTCGTAATGTCCATCCAGTGTAATAAAAGCGGTATATCTAATGAAATATCTCGATACGGGGATCTGGTGAAAGCCGTTTTTCATATCGATTGATATGAAATACTTAGCCCCACCTAGTTTATCTATCTGATCCTCGATAAGAGAGAGTGGATATCTTTCTCTTTCAGTTACTTTGTTTAACGCTCTATAGTCTATACACATCCTGTCAGTACCGTCTTTTTTCTTTAACGTTATAACGGGACTTGCATAGGACGAATTACTTTCCCGGATTATACCACTATCTAAAAGTTCTTTTGATCTTCTCTCTCTCAACTGGGGTTAATCGATACGGTCGGTAGTATATTACCTGATTGCTTTTCAACCGTATGTTCAATTCACCAGTTTTCACAGTACTGGTCCCTTTAGAGGGCAAAACAGATGGGTATTTTTTAAAAGTGTTCTCTATTTTTTGTTGCAAGTCCTCATCCAGATGCTTAATTTTCTCGATAAGATAGGAAAGTTCGGGAGGTTCACCTGGATGACCTTCTACTGCACAAATTTGGTTCTGCTTGAACAAATTCGTCCCAGCCAGCCTACTTCCAGATGAATCAGTCACAACTGACACATCGGGGAACTGTACAGCATTTCTACCAATAATGCAATCGTAGTGAAAATCACAATCTCTTGCCACATGGAAATCCAATTCGAGACATACATGTTTAAATTTAACGGGCTCGGCAATTTTTGCAAAAACATGCAAAGTACCATTGCCGATGCCGCCAAGAAAAACCGAACAAGGATATAAGTGGCAACCAATGCGCCGGGCAATCGATTCTTTGATTATACTACAACTAGCACCTGTATCTATAAGAGATTGTATAGTAATGTCGTTAGTGGAAATTTCTGTTAAAGGTAAATCAGACTTATTGACACAATTCACATTTTTAGTGGAACTACTTTTTTCAAAATATTGCTTATGCCAGCAGTTCTACGTTTGATGGCCCATTTTTTGCAATAATTACATACAGTTAGTTCCACGTTCTTTGAGTCACCGCTCTGCATTTTATTTTGAAAGCACTGTGCTTTAACGTGCCCCTTTTTGTTACCTTATCATTGTCATCAATATTTCTATTGGGCTTTAGACGCTTAGGTTCATTAAGGCCTATCACATCGCCCCTATGAGACAACTGTTTTTGTTCCTGGGGTCTTTTGAGTGTATTCTTGGTGTAAGATGAAAAAAGGCAAATAAGTTCGGAAGTGGTTTTCACACTACTATTCAATGACGCTATCTTGATACTATTCTCACATACCCCGCCACATACAAGCTCGATTAATTGAGATTCAGGAAAAACAATTTTGGTATTCCGTAGTAATCTTAATTTTTCCCTAGTATATTCACAATATGAGTCTGCAGAGTTAGAAATGTATAGTACAGCCTTTGTCAATTTTTCTGAGAGATTTTTTCTTTCCGGATATAACGCGACAAGATCTTTTTTTTAAGTTTTCCCAAGATCTACCGCTCTCTGGTTCCCAAGACTCAAACCAGGATAACGCAGAGCCTCGTAAGGCCTTACCTACTTTTATAGCCTTTTGCACACTGCTCCAGTCGAATTCTTTTCCAAGATCCTCAATACTTCTGCGCCATGATTCGGCACCGTTGTCGTTGTTGTTCGGATCAAACAGCGGCAGAGCGATGTCATCTTGATGTGATTTGGATGATACAGCGTCACGAATCGCGCTGAGGAAGGCTTCTAACATGTTCTTATCCATTACGGGTGCCTGATTATATAAATAAATAAAAAGTTAAATTTGTGTTTCAAGGCAGGTCACATCCCGACCACGACACCCCACCCCATTCCATGGGTGGTTGTTGAACAACCAATCAGAATGTCAGTAAACAGATAGTTTTTAAAATGTTATAAAAAGTTCTTGTTTACATTATTTTGAGTAATTTAACTTATGATTCTATTATAATACGAAACGTGAACTGGAAAAAGATATGTAAAACCATTATTTTCTAACACATGCAATACGCCATTCGGGTTCGCGTTATCGGCAGAAAGCCGGTTTGAAATTCAAAAATAATTATCGAAAATGCCGGCTCTCGTGGAACGGCTCGCAAAATCCATCCAATCCATAATGGTGGGGTGGTTAAACGGAAGAGACCTTATTGTAAATACAATGGTCCTAAAATGCTGAAATATATAGTACAATAATAATGTTCGCCATATATTATAGTACGCTCAAGGCGATTGGTGCTTTCAAACCAGGTGGTGGGAAGAAGTCTGTTGTAACATTTCTGTTACAATGTTTTAGTGGTGATATCTACTCATACTTCCTTTTCAGCCTCTTTTAGGGCACCTAACTCAGCTAATAGAGAGCGCTAGTTTCTTAAAAGTGTATCAAGGCAGTATGGCGTCCATCGACGACATTGCTCACCTCGTTTATGCTTGCGAAGTAACAACAAATGGGTAGGCTAATCCGAGTTTTTTTATAACCAAATTAATTCATTTCAAGTACATAACGATCGTGAAATTAGTAACAAGTGCCAAAGGTGGGGGGGATTGCATTAGTTTTAACTGTTGAATTGGTACAAGGGGTTAATGCATCCAAAGGAGCACGTGAATGATAGCTCGTCTTAATGCTCGGTCCAGTCAAATGAAATTTAGTATGATTTTCATTATGTAACCATTTTTGGAGCCTTTTCCAACTAGTAAATTCTTACAATAAATTTATGAAAATTTGTTTTATATTTTTTCAGACAGTTTTATATTTAAAGACTAATATCATATTAATATAATATGTGTTTACAATTAATGTTGCTCTTTGATGAGGTAAAAATAATCTTGGAATATTGTTATATTTACAACTATTGAGTTTGCTAATAAAATTATTAAACGAATGCGATGTTTGACAATTTTACTTACACGTCTGACCAACATTCTGTCGAAAAAACTTTGTTCGTATTACGAAAATTAGCATATATTTTGAAATACGTAATGCAGGAAGTACGCATCCGCATAGCGCTGACCGTCATCTGTTCATGACAATGCCACGTTAATATTCCTATTAGCGTGCTTTTAAGATTAAACCTATCGACAATTTTTTATACACGTATTTTTGGCTTTAAAACAGTCAAATGACCGCTCGATGGTAGGTTTAGTGTTAACTATAAGTGGTCTTAAGAGAAGGTATGAGTACGGCGTCTTTTAATAGCGATATAATCGTGTTTAACTAAAAGACGTTTAAGAACGATTATAAAAGAGAGGTATGAGTAAGGGCCCTATTGTTTTTGACACGTCTTATACATGAATTCACGAAGGAATAATTATTTGAAAATGTTTATTTCAGATGAAGATTGTGCACTTCCACCCGATGATTTTCTCCAGGCTTTGAGTTCTGAATTGGAAATTCCATTACTGTTGGGTGGTGAAGGATCCCCCGGGAATGATGAAACTCCGGATGAAATCATTAAGGGTGCCGTACTGCTACCGCCACCGTGTACATTCGAAGAGCTTGGTGTAAATTTGGTGCAATATAATAATTGCAGCGTTCACAGTATTTCTTCTCTGGGCAAAGGTATTTTAAACGTAAAACAATACATAGAAAAAATCAGTATCAATAACAAGTATACATGAAACTTTAGTTGTATTTTATTAACAAATGTACAGCGGGCTTCGACATAAAACTTCAATATTAACCTTTTGCATTCCAATCTATTTTTGATACGATCGGCCAACAACGCTGGCACAATTGTAATGAAATTTGTTGTAGGGGTACCGATGGATTTGCAGGTGATTTGCAGGAAACTTATGTTGTCACCTGAATTTTTGAAATTTAAAAAATGTTTTGCTTCCTCATAGAGGAAGCTATGTGACAATGAAAAATTTGGTTGTCGAAATTTTCATGTCACCATGTTCAGAATGTGCTAAAACGTCGAGAAAACATGTTTGGAGAAAATGTCCGGATGTATGTGTGTGTGTGTAATGGCATCCTAAAATTCAAACGTGTATAACTCGAGAACGGTTTTAGCTATAGCTTCCTAATTTTGCAAGCTTGTACAGCTCTATAATACCTTCATTAACTATAATTCGTCATAATTCAAGCTGCGGCTCGAATTTTATGTCGTTTTCAAATTCCCCAAAAAAGGACGTTATCACTCTAGCGATTGCAAATTTTGTGGTAATCGTCTAAATAGTTCTTGATAAAGAGATTGATAAAGAGATTTGTATCTAAGGTTGGTTGGTATTGCATTTGGGCTGAACCCATCCAGAAGTTTTGATTTTATATTTTGAATTTTTCGAAAAATTAAATTTATCAATATAACTTACGTCAACTTTGACCCATTGATCTCCAATTTTCCAAAAGTATAGAATATCATTTAGCCATGATGTGTGTCAAATTTGGTGGAGATCGGCAAAATGGATCTAATTATACATATATTCAAGTTTTTGAATTTTAGCCTATTCAAAATTATTAGGCCCGAAGAAATCATGTAAGAGATTTATCCTTATATGCGTTCTCTACGGTATAAAGCACCTTAAGTTGTGAGAGGTATGGAGACTCGTGTTAAACAAGCTGCAAGTTGAAACTTGCAATTTGTTTCCTCTGAATCGTCGGTAGTAGATGAAGATTCATCTATGAGGAAGCCAAAGATTAAAAAAAAAAATGAAAATGCTTCCTCATGTAGGGACTTCGTACATTACCTACTCATGTTGTCACCTGAATTTTTAAAAATTAAAAAATGTTTTCTTTTAAGATTTAACAAAGTTTGGAATGTTGTAAACCATAATATAGATTTGGAAACGTGCCTATGTCAGAAGCGACGGAATGTTCACGCTGCGACGCGGCACATTCCACTCACCAATATTATGGAAACATAGGAGACACATCACCGACACCATGGCGAAATATAGAAACAATCCTTGGTTATTGTATCTCTAAAAATTCTATCTGCCTAATATCAACGAAATATTGGACCAAATGGGTAATGCCAAATACT